TCTGTGCTTTAAAAAGTAACATATAATTGTTTATTAAAAACTTGAAATGATTTAAAAAAACAGAGAAGGATGCCAGTTACAAATATGACACCCGTTTTGCTGTAAATTAAGCCATTTTAGAAGTAGAGGGAAGATACGGGAAGAGCGACTCCCGCAGGAGGAATGATATTTTCTGTATATTATTATAGATTTAGACAAGGCAGGTCCACAGAAGCCATTCATGGATACTGTTGTCAATGTAAGAACGGATTTAAAAAGGTAGGATGTTGTGAGCACGCCATGACAGTTATTTGGTATTTAGGTCAGGGGCAATACAATAAGACTACTCGCCGGCACCGAAGATTTATCGTTAATGCAAGTTTTGCAAGAGTATTCTAAATGAAGATAACTAATAAAAAAAACGCGATATCCATTAGAGCTCTATTAAACGCGTCAAACTTTAAAGTACTCTGGGTAGTAGCCATCTAAGGCGAAAATACTTTTTTGAAATATTTAAAAAACTCATGATGAGAAGATCCAAATTGAGATCAGGTTCGGTTTTGCGGAACAAAATACATGGAAATACCTTTGTTTAGCAATTTAACAATTCGCAACACTGATAAGTGCGTACGGAGGGCACATACAACCAAATTTGTGTGATGGCATAACGCGAGTTTAAAAGTGCAGTTTTGAAAATCGAATTATAATCCAACTATTTATTTGATTCCAAAAAAATAATTCCAGGGTATTCTGATATTATTACTAATAAAAAACTGACCTCCACTTAAAATTGTATCCTATGGAATCATTTATTGAAATTATATACAAATAATAATATACCTGTGGGTTAGGGAGAGATAAAAATTTAAAAAATCTGATAAGAAACATCCTTCTCACTACCCTCTTTCAATGCAATATTTATTGCATTCAATAGCCATGCTAATGTTATTGTACATTTCTAAATATTTTGAATTGTAAATATTAATTATTTTGGCGTGTTTATAAAAAAACTGTAAAGTATTATATTAAATATTTTAGTACTTATATACACAAATTTTACAAAAAAAAACATTCCAAAATTTTGGAATACGTTTGGAAAACGGGTAACGGGAAACGGGTCTGCCCTTTCAGTGTGAGAATAACCGGTGATTGATTTTCTTCTGGCAAGGGTTGGTTTAATTAATTTTTATATTTTTTCATAGTTCATATAATTACTTTTGTCTATGGTTTTTGAAGAATGTTGTCGTCATTAGAGTATAAATTAAAGGCACTTATTTTGCACATTGTAAAAATTGGTCATGCCTATAATGAAAACGTAGGTAAATTTTGCAAAAAGCAATTTCTGTTATAAATTGTACCTGCCAATGTGAACACGATTATTTTACCAGTGAGAGAATTTTTTTAAATTACATTGTTAATTTCAAATGTTAAGGTTTAGACAGCTGGTTATATTTGCACAAATAACATGTGGGCTGTTTGCTGAATAAGCATAGCCAACGAACTTTACGACAAATCATTGCACTTGTAAAATTCACGATATAAGTTGGAGATAATGTTTATACTGAAATATGACAATTTCAAGAACAGTTCTCGGCAGACAAGTGTTTTTACAAGATGTATAAATTAATTTAAACGAATTGTAACGACAAAAATATAACTTTTTATGGAGAAAAAGCGGTATGTAATAATTCTATAGGTTGTTAGTGCCCTTACCAATGGGAATCTTTCATACTGCGAACATATATTTGTAGAAATTTGATATAGGATTGACTTTGTGGTAGTATTTTTATTTCAATAGCATATGTATTATTTTACAGATTTGTTCTTTTATACAGGGTGATTCATTAATAATGGGACAGAGCTTAAGGGCATGTTGCTGACCTCAAAATAGAGTGATTAAGTCAAATATGCCTTATCCGAATATTGCTCCTTTTCGATCTACAGGGTGTTAAAGTTGAAAAAATATTTTCGATTTTTTAAAATATATTGAGCATCTTTGAACGGATTATCTTGAAAGTTTGTACACCTATGTTTTCTGAGGTGGTAATTACGGAAATGGTAACTATTTTGCAATCGCATCTTGGATGCGTTAGTTGTAGTGTCCCGTCGGAGTAAACATATGTCAAACTTTTTTGTCCTTCAAAAATCTGAATTTCCAATAAGAAATTATTAAACTACGTTGACAACATTTTAAAGAAATTTGTACGATTGTATAAACAGCTTATTACAACTTATTACTTATTATAACACTGTGCTCTGTCTGCAATTTTTGCCACTATAAGTTTATTAAAAAATCTTCTAGTGTTGAGTTTTTTTGACCTCTTGATAAATGTATCTTCCAGTTAAATCTACATCTGTCTTATAAAAGAGTGCAATAGAAATTAACAGACATATATTTAATTGATAGTTAAATTTACTCGACGGTGAAATAATAGGTCCTAAATCGCGGATAATTTATTCACAGGCACCCTGTAAAATGCCTAACAATGTCATACCTGAGAAAAAGTGATTGCATTGCCGTTATACTATTTAATATGACAACGTTGACATAAAAATTAATATTCATTCCAAGAGATAAGCCAGGTATTCTATACGACTTTTTCATAAGGCATTTATTCAGTGTTATCGTTTTCTTCTTGTAATTATCGTGGCGTACCTTTCCTCATTATTTATTCTACGAAGCAAACCCGAAGCGGTGCCTTACCGTATGCGTATTTATTTAAATGGGATTGGAGATAACATATTTGATGGGAGTAACGTTCGAGGTAGATGTGGAATGGCCATTAAGAATTTTAAGATTCTCCCTGCATTCTTCTAAATGAGAACCTAAGCGATAAAGTCAAAATTTACAATTTAATTAGTAGTAATCTTGATGCCCTTCTTCATTAAAATATACTTATCTCAGGGTTCTCCTAGAAGTTACGTTGTTCATAAAAATGCTACTCTTTAAATACAGGGTGTTTCATTAAGAATGCGATACGGCTTAATGCGAGACTAGTGAAATCCGAATAAGACAAACGAGGCGAACAAACCATCATCAAACTGTTGCTTTTTTTCAAACGACAGTCAGTATCAGTGTTTCATTGTTCGAGCTGAAAATTTAGGTAGGCGATGTTTTGTTGTCACCGCTACTTGATGGAAGTTAAAAACCCAATAGTTCGCAAAAATAAAAGGAGTATTCGTTTCACTATAGGAATACCTGGTACCTAAAAACAGATGAGATCTTTTGGTAGGTGTGTACATTTTTGGTAGTTTGAATCGACTTTCTTATAACCTATTTTAATTGTTATTCAACACATATTTTTTACAAATAGTATATTCTTTTCTGATATCTACTGACTTGTCACATTGATACGATGAATACTTTTTTGGAATCGCTGACTCCACTGACAGCTTTGTTTTTAATGAAAACTAAGGCAAAACTGATGATTACCTAAAATAGAACTAACAATTTTCCTTTTAACTACAAAAAAAACTAGACAAAAAAGCAGACGACATTTATGGTCACAACTATTTACCTCCTTTTATGTACTATGTATGTCGGGGATGATTCCAGAGGTTCTCAATAAGTTTTAATATTTGATTATTATTCATTTTTAGCGCCATTTTGCAATTTCAACAATACTGATTATTGAAATTGCTTATTATGAATGTATTCTACATACTATTAAACAATCTTCTCCAAGTTTGTAAATATAGTATAGGCAATCACTTTAGTAGTATATTGCATTTAGATTACGTACTAGTTAGCACTGCTAATGATATCTGCTACAACATACCTATGTATGTTATTATATTATATTATTATTTTGATGTAAAAATGAATACTTCACAGTTAAGTTAGAAATAAAAGTAAATACTTTTTATAAGCACTGTCATATTATTAAAATTAAATAAAATTAACTCCTAATTTTAAGCTTAGTTTATCAAGTCTTTTGTGCTGGCTTGACTGTACTTTTTTTCATTTTAACTAGCATCGTTTTTAATCAAAATTGGTTAAATTTTATAATTTTTTATGTGAATTATCAATGTTGAAAAACAAAAAAAGTTTAGACTACATTTGCTCTTGCAGTTAAATATCACTAGCAATAAATTTATTGAGGAACACGACGCTAACGACATTTAATTACCAAAACAAAATGCGTTTATAAAAAACCTACCTAAACCCATGCAAATGAGTGAGTCAATAACAATCTTGAAAATAATAACAAAAACAATAGAAAACAGATATTTATATTATGTAACGAAAAAACAGTTAAATTTTAACAAAAGTAAATATGTTTATAAATGCTCGAAATGCATGCCATTATTTTCAATACAGGAATTTAACCTTCGCTGCGTGCTTAGGTGGTTCTTTTGTAAATGCATTCTGTTTTAGTAATTAAATGTCATTTCGTTTGCGTCATGTTCAATTCATTATCATTATTTAGTTTTTGCTCAAAAATTTGCGAATAACTTGATAACAAAAAAAGATATCTAACACTTTTTGGCGTCAAAATGTAGCTATTTTTATGTTCTTCAAACTAACCCATAAAAAGTTTTATCAAGCTATTTAACTTTTTTAAGAATACGTGAAACAACTTAAACTTGGATAAATAGCGCTAATAAATAACGTTAGAAATTTAATCATTTTTTGTGCTGAATTCATTTATGCAAAGAAAACTATGGCATCGCATTTAAAATTTTTGAGAGAAATCCATAAAACGGCTTTCTTTTGAAATAATGCCATCTATAGATTACCATATTGCGGTAAATGACATTACGCATCACGAGATAAAGCATGGAAACACCTTTCCAACGAGGTGTAACACTATGGGCTTTTGATGAGTCGATCTTTAAAAAAATGCATTTTTCTGATCAGACAGTAGGGGCTTGGCCCACCCTTTCTGTCGAGAGATAGAACAAAATGTCAATAACGAAAGGTATGAGCAAAGAATCCAGCTATCCATATTTGTACTATTTAATATACCTGAACAGGAAACATTTCTAAGGGCCATTTTCACAATATCTGGTCACTTGAAGATGACTGAAAACTGCAAGTTAACCAGTAAATTTTCGTTTCACAATATCGGTTTTGGCGTTAACTTTTGGTTAACCCCCCAATTTGTTAACTATAACTTAAAGTATGGGTTAACTACCGGTTTTGTAAAATCTAACCTATAAAATTTTATCTAAACCCGTAAATTTTATTGAGTTAGGATTCAGGATTTACTTCGAAGAAGTTTAAAATGAATGATTATGAAATAAATGCATATAGCAGCGAAGAGGAATTAATAGAGAATGAAGCAAGGCCTAGAGTATTTCGAAGGAGACCTAATTATTTTGAAATTTATGATCCACAAGACTTTTTTGTGAGATTTAGATTAAAACCCAGAACAGTTGAAATGTTGTTGGAGGAACTTGACGAAGCAATCAGTCATCCAACAGAAAGGTATGTATCCAAATTATCTTATTAATAATAAGTACTTAATTCTGTTTCTTCTTAGGAATCTCGCTTTGTCTGCAAGTCAACAATTGTTGTTAACTTTAAATTTTTTTGCAAATGGCTCCTTTCTTAGAGTTACTGGAGACTTTCAAGGAGTTAGTGCTGCAACAGCTAGTCGAACAGTGCACAGAGTGTCTCGAGCCATAACTGCGTTACGTCCAAGATATATTCAAATGCCAGAAGGGGAAGAAATTGCTTTAGTCCGGCAAAAATTTTATAATATTGCTCGTTTCCCAAGGTGCATTGGGGCACTAGATTGTACTCATGTCAAAATAATCTCTCCAGGGGGTAACAATGCTGAGGTCTTTCGCAATAGGAAGCAGTTTTTTTCCTTAAATGTGCAAGCTATCACAGACTCTAATCTAAAAATTAGAAATATAGTTACTCGATGGCCAGGGTCAACCCACGACTCTTATATTTTTCGAAATAGTAATATTTATGCTGCATTAGAAAGAGGTATTTATGGTGATTCACTTTTAGTCGGAGATAGTGGTTATCCTGTTAGACCCTACCTGATGACACCACTTCATGAAACTAGAAATGAGGCAGAAGCTCTCTATAATGAGTCACAAATTCGAACCAGGAATGTAGTTGAACGGACATTTGGTGTTTGGAAGCGAAGATTTCCAGCACTAGCAATGGGTCTTCGACTTAATATCGGTACCACACAAGCCGTGGTTGTTGCAACAGCTATCCTGCATAACATTGCTTGCAATGTAAACGAAAACGTTCCACCTGTAAATGCAGCTCAAGAAGCAGCAATTGATTTTATACAGGATATACCTATTATAAATGAGGATGAAGCTCATCAGTATGTGGGCCGAATTAATGATAATAATCGTGCAAGGTACAATTTGATATATAATTACTTTAGAAGACTATAGCCTACAAATTGATGTGTGAGTACTTTCCATCATGGTCACTTAGGACATAATGGATTACCTTCAAGAAGTAAAACTGAACTGAAACGTGTTGAGTGAATGTTCCTAGTTATATACCTGCCTGTTTCTTACAGTTTAATAAAACTAAATAGATATCTGTACAATTTTATAATTTTTACAGCACTCTGCTAAAATAAAGATTTAATTTGGAAGTGTTTTTATTTCTAACAGGTTTTTACAATGATAAATTTATATTTCCAAATTTTGTTTTAATATGTTTAATTTTATTAAGTTAATTTCCTTTTTCAATCTAAAAATGTCCATTTTTATCTCGTGCTCTTCCAAAAACATCTGTTTTTGTATTCTCAGGAATTCCAACTTTTCCTCTGCGACAGTATTTTCCTTTGAAACTAGAACAATGAGGTATTACTTTAATGTATTTTTATATATAGTAGCAGCAAGGATTCAAACAACTTCATACGAACAAATGAATATTATATTTTTTTATCAAAATATTTAAAAAATTGCAATAATAACACCATGTATTACCCTAACGCTTTTTTTAAACACGACAAACTATAGAAAATTACGTTGAAAACAAAATTGCACGTCACCGTGACGAAAGTCGGTTCAATTCCTGCTGCTCTACATAGTTGCTACACCACTATCTTGACTTGAGGAATCTCATTATGCTGTGTCCGATTCTTAATAAAATACCCTGTATATATAAACTTTATACTTACAAACATGTCTTTTATTAACTTGAAGCTTCTTTGCTTTCGGCTGTTTCAAATTTTTGGCACTGTAATAACTCCAATCATGTTTTTCTATTATTTCTTTTTCTTTATCCGTGATATCCACATTGGTTTCCTTTTCATTTACCTCATCTAAAACTTTATGAAGCAATAGTGCATAATATGTATAAATATTAGAGGAATTAATGCAAATAGTTTTATTAAAAGTATTACCTACCTACATTTTCTACAGTTCCAGGCATATCTGTTAAAATATCTGTGTAGTCATGCTCAATTTCAATTTGAGAATTATCAGGGATTGACTCGAAATTCTCTAGAATGAAAATAAATTAATACATTCGTCATTATAATATATCTGTTTACCTATTGCATCAGAGTCAAATGTGTTTTTTATTCCTTCCATTTGACCTGACAAAATGTTTTTAATCGCAATATCTACATCACTCATTAATATTGGGGTAAATGTCCCACCACCTGTTTTATTCAGTTCCATCTTCTCTTCTGTAAACTTCCTTTTAGCTCTTTTTTTTAAATTACTATATTTTTCTTTCAGATGTTTTGCGTGTCTATAGATTTTTCCGCTTCTGCTATTAAACTCTTGTTCAATATGTTTCCAAATTTTTTCCTTATCTTTCCATGTACGTACATTACTTTTCTTACACTCTATAATATTTTTATATTTTTCAATTAAATTTATCAACAAATTCTCCTCTTGTTCGGTAAAGGTTAGTGCACGTTTTTCCATAGCGTTTTTTGGTTTTTCTTCGTCTCTTCGAACATAATACTAAACGAAAATGTGAGGTTATCTGACATTTGACTTCCACTCCACAGAACATTGATAATCTAAGAAAAAGGGTCACGTGATGAGTTGTCAGCAGTACCAATTGTAGAAAAACACACCCACTTTCGGTTAACTAAACCGTGAATGTGAAATCTTTTATGAAATGATATGTCTGGGTTAACTTTAAGGTAATAGTTACCTTCACTTTTACTTTTACCGCATATTATGAAAATGGCCCTAAGAAAAATTTAACTCTATGTTTGATATGTAGATTGCACCCCTTAGCGTCCGAGCTATGAACTTGAAAACTATTTCCAGCGATTTCTCTTGGTCGATTTATTCATTAAAATTTTTTCCCGAAGTTCTAGGGCCTACACTTTCCCTAATACTGTACCTCGCCGACCTTAGTGACACACTCTGTATATTGCAAAAGAACAATATTTGATTGAAACATATTTGGCTCGATTACCCTATTGTGACTTGAGGATTCACTGTGTTTCATTTTAATGAAACATATTATAGCTGTCTCCTATTCTTGAGAAATGAAATCTGTTTCTGTTGCTGTTTTTAATGTTTGTAAATATGCCGAAGAAAATAATTAGTTTAAAACTAACTACACTCCTGGATAATGATTCATTCTGACCACAAGTTATGCAATCATCATTAAACATCCACTGACAGTGAAACGCAGCAAAATGGTACGGTCATGTTCGAAGACCAGACAACACTAAACTAATGGAGTGGATGCCTTTAAACCGCAAGAAGCGTGGAAGGTCTTAAGAGAGCTTGCGGAGAAGTCAAGCTAGAATTAATCGAGGCAGTAGTGTACAGTGCATCTCATTTTGGATGCCATGCTCGAATACCTCGGTTGTTATTAAACGTTGGCCACTATTTTAAGAGCAGAAAGTCAAAACAGTTGTTTCGTATGTTTTTTAGTTTTGAAGTTACATCCAAAATATCAACTAATTGAAACTTTGGATAATCTAGAGCATCCATTATGTCTAGGTTATGACAGCTATGGTTTCCATTTAAAAAAAAATACTATTTTGATCTGCAGCTATGTTGAAAATCGGTATTAAAAAATATAAGTTTTTTTAATAACTTTAAAGAAAGTGGTCATCTTTAATAATAACCGGCTTACCATTAAATATGTGATGCACTGTACCACAAAGAGTGTTATGCATCGACAACATTATTTTTCAAATAAAACTAGTTATATTTGTTGAAAATGAATACTACCAGTTCAGAGAACAGATTTCATTCATTTTTAGCCTTCCTTTCAACGCCTATAAGACTGACAAATAAAGGGATAGTTTCAATTTTAATTGAATCAAGGTAACAAAATTATTTTCATAAAGATTATTAGCAAGGCATGTTATTCAGCGGTCTATCGGTTTTTGTGTCGACTTCAAAGATATTTGTGTCATACATTAGAATGGGTTACTCTAGTAGTAATCTGTTTCTGTGTTTGGTATTACTTATGCACACCTCACAAAATCGAAAAAAGAAATACAATCACAGCACACACGTGTTAATAAAAGGAAAAATGTAAGGAAAATAAAAATTAACGCCGCTAATATTTTTGTTTGTTTGAAAATACCAAATACAAAGGACCAGGCGTTAATTACATTAAAAATTGAACATTGCTGCGGATACGAGTTATTTTTTATCTCTAAATTAAAGTTCCGATCATGAAAACCCCATTTAATAGTTTGTTTGTCCGTGTTCGCCACTTTTACTCCTACTTTTAGCATTTCATTTACACGTGTGTACCTAGATGGAATAAAAATGCAATGCGGATAGCGATGTCACCCATTTGCAAGGAAGGTAAAGCTCATGAACATATTGTTACGCTACTCGCACACTTAACCCCCACCAAAACCGGTCAAAAACAGCCCCGAAGAGGGGTTAAACGCATATACAACCTATTCCACTGGCCACATCTAATTCATCACCCATTTTCAAGAGAAATAAAGCTCACGAACATATTGTCACGCCATCCGCACCCCAATACCCTCCACCACCCCTCCCAATGGCCAAGAAGCAACCCCAAAAGAGGTTACATACAGAGATGGCCAAAAGTACGGAATAAAATTCATATCTTCTGAATGAGCTAATTTTCTTTAAAACGCCGAAACACGTTAACTGATTTTGATTTTTTCCCATCTTTCGGTTATATAATAAATAATTTTTCTTCAACCCTCTAACCCCCAGCTACCCCTACTTTTTTTTTCAAATGGAAACATAAGGCATGAGGGGGCTCGTTGAAATGCTTATAGAAAACCGAATCCAGCCATACCAAATAAACAAGTTTTATTTTTTCAATAACAAGTCTTTTTTCATTTAGAAATTGAAACAACTAGATAATTTACAAAAATAAACTCAATGTCGCAAATGCTGAAAATGTCCTCCATTCACTATTTGGCATTCTCCAAGACGATAGTAAAAGCTGTCCACAGCATTCTGAATGACTTCAGCTGGTAAATTATGCATCTCCGCCCTAATCTTGTTCTTTAAATTCTCAATATTATCGGGTCTGTCCTGGTAGACTCTTTCTTTCAAATATCCCCAAAGAAAATAATCCAGGGGTGTTAAGTCGGGGGATCTTGGCGGCCATTCAACTGTACCCCGTCTACCAATCCAGCGATTTGGAAACATTTCATCTAAGTATCTTCGAACATCAATACCAAAATGTGGGGGAGCGCCATCTTGTTGGAACCAAATTCTTTCATTCGGTATATCTGGATCAATTTCATGAGGGAAAATCACAGCTAGAGCAGGTATCAGGTCAAATGTTAGGAAATCCAGGTAGCGTGCGGCAGTAAGATTTTCTTAAAAAAAGAATGGGCCCAAGATTCTGTTTTGATGATACTTGCCCATACATTAACTTTTTGTGGATGCTGCGTATGCGATTCGCATGTCCAGTGTGGATTTTCCTGGGACCAAAAGCGATAGTTGTGCCTGTTAACCACACCATTTAAATAAAACGTAGCTTCATCCGAAAAAAGTACGTCTCGTTGAAAACCATTATTGTCGTAACATCGTCTCATCATTTCCTCACAAAATTGCAATCGCATATCACAATCGCCTTCTAAAAGCTCTTGGACAAGACATACCTTATAGGGGTGGTATTTCTCTTCTTTCAGAAACATTCAAATTGCAGTACGAGAAGCATCGTGATTGCGGGCCAATGAAACAGTTGAAGTATGAGCATTTTCAACAAGTTCTAATGCAATGTCTAATTTCTTTTCTTCATTCAAAGCACGTGCCCGTCCAGTTTTGGGAAAAGCCTGTACTGTACCGTGTTTCTCAAATTTGTGAAATATTTTACTAACTGGCCCTTGCGAGACTGACTTCTTACTTTGTCTCCACATCCAAGCAATATCAAGATTTCGATGCGTTGCCTTTCCGACAATACTATTGCAATTCAGTAAATAAATTGATTTTGACACAATAGTAACGTTTCGAACTCCAATTTACAACTAAAGCGAAAAATTAACCAGAAAGCCTGGCAAGTAAGAGGTGCCAAAAAAACGCAACATAAAAAATATATATTTTTTGCGTTAGCAGCGATAGGTATAGTTTCAAATTCTTTATTTTATTGTGTGCAAATTCATGGAGGATAACACTGAAGATAATTAAATTTTATTTCACTTGTTAAGTAGGTGTTTTATAC